CCGGGCCGGGGGGCCGCGCGGAGCCGCCGCGAGGCACCGGCCGGGACGTCCCGAGAGCCGGCAGCACCGACGACGTCCCGAGCGGTGCAGGCAGCCCTGCCCGCGGCCCCCAGCGCACGGGGGTCCAGCAGAGCCCCGCACGGAGCTGACAGCAGCCTGGGGCATCCCCCAGCCCAGCCCTGTGCGTCTGCCCCCTCCCAGCGCTGCTGGGGCCTCTCAGACACGGGTGGGAACACAGGGGCTCCCACTGCCAGTGATTTTCCCAAGGCACTAAGAAGTTGGGACACTTGGAGGYGGTAAAAATCCAGCCCTGATGTCACCCACCCTGCGCATATCCCGGGGAAGAGCACTGAGACTCCTCTGCAAGGTGGCTCCTGCTCCCAGGAAAGTGAGGACAACAGCCCTGGGGCCCCGTGCAAGGAGAGGGGATGACAGGGTTACTCCCAGATGATCCTCCATGAGGATGCCCTGGCTCTTGGGCCAGCAGCAGAGCAGGGAGAGGCTGAGACAGAGATTCACGGTGCCCATGGGCACTGCAACACGGCGGCCCTGGGACTGGTGGCCACAGGGTGGCCGTCCGGACCTGGCTGGGCTCTGCAGCTCCTCATTTCCCCCTCATGTAATTCCAGCAGGTGGGATCTCCCTGCCCTACCACCCCACTCTTCCTGAGCTCGTCCTCACCACAGGATGAGCTCTTGGCTTCATTTTTTTGCCTTTCTAATTTCCTTTCTTCCTGCCAGCATTTGCTTTTTTGTGCTTTTCTGGTTTTTGAGGGAGACTGACGCTGGCTCGGCAGCCCCCGGGGAGCAAAACCTTCTGTTTATTTGCACACCAGACAGAGAAACCAGTCCTGCCTCCTGCATCACCCAGCCGGTGCCTGCACCCTGGGCTCCTCGTGCTCCCGAGCCTGCCCCAAGAGGTGCCGAACAGCCCAGGCTGCTGGGGCAGATGTTTGTAAGGAGACAGCCTGGCCTTGGGCTGCTGGCCGGGGACCAAAGTGGCACCCGGGAGCCACTCGGGTTGCAGACCCTGCCTGGCAGGTCGGCGCTGCTTTGGGGATGCTCTGCCTGGCTCCTCGCCCCCTCGCCACCCTGTGCCAGTCATGCAGCAAGGCCCTGGTCCTGCTCCCAGCACTCAGGACCCTCGGCAACATCCGGCACAGCAGCTCTGGAAAGTCTGACACAGGCAGCGGCTGGCGGTGATCTCACTTGGAGGAGGAGGAAGCAGGACAGACAAACTCTTTCCAACAAACCTGTTGAGTTACTTTAAAATTCCAAGCTGGCAGCAGAACTGCTGGATTGTGGTGCAGGCTAGGAAAGTGCTGAGCCCGGATACAGACAGCCCTGACCTTTCCTGCCGCTCATCGTTCTCAATAGAGAACAGTGAGAAATGGGAAGAGTATTTGGATCTGTCTGKTTTGATTGCTGGGCCCTAAAACACAATGACTGTACAGACAGCAAAGCTGCTGGAGCAGCATTTATCCAAAGAGCATGTCTGAGATTTCCATCAGCAAGGACTCGTCTGATGGGCTGCTGGTTTTGGGAATATTTGACATGTGAGACATCCCCAAAGGACAGATTTTCCAAGGACAGGTTCTGGAAACCAGGTTCGTTTCCAGCACTTCCAGCTGAAGACAGCACCTCCTGCTCTCCTGCCCATCCCACCCTCCTTGGAATAAGGGGCTGCTCTGCGAAAACCACGTTCAAAGCAGAGCTATAACATCCGATAACTCATTCCCATTGGGAGGCAGTGACGTACCTGCTGTGGCAAGATCTGGCATCTGAGATAACAGCTGAGCAGGAACAAAATAGAAAGTGGTGGAYGAGGGGTTTAAAAATGGCTCCAATGCCTGGAAAAGGGTGGTTCTCATTCTGCGGGAGCACCTCCAGAGGCGCCTGAGCAGGGCTGGGGCTGCACAGGTGCTGCAGCAGCTGCTCGAACCCTGCGGGAGGGACTGTGGGTCCCAGAAAGCAGGCCCTGTTGTCCTGCCCCGCTCAGACACCCCAGCAAGGTCCCGAGGACATGGAGAGCTGGTTGTGCCACCACCTCCAGGGCCACCAGGTCCTTGCCCAGGCTGTGGCTGCTCATGGTTCAGAGAGGACTTGGAGAGTGCAGGAACCTGCTCACCGGCTGCCCACCTCCCTCCCAAGAAAGCCACATGCTCTTCTGTATTTTTAAGGCCACAGAGACCATCTCAAACTAAAAAGCCCCAGTGACTTGGTCCCTCCACACAGAGGGATGAGATGCAGGGCTGTCCCAGTGGTCCTGCCTGTTCTGCCCCAGTTGTACCTGGACTCTCCCACTGCCAASAGGGCTGAGCAACCCAACTTCCCAATGCTTGGGAGCTTGGCAGCACGGGGCAGGGGAGCTGCAAGGGTCACTTACCCACGTTCCTGGGCTGGCTGACGGGAGACACCAGGACTCGCTTGATCTTCACCACTTTCCACTCCTGGCTCGGGTCCGTGGTGGGGCTGGCTGCAGCAGGGGGCTGCTCCAAGCCCGGGCAGGTGCTCAGGGGCGCGGGCTCCGCCGTGGATGCCGCGTGGGCACCGCCGAGCCCAAGGCACGACGCATCTCTGGTGAGCGCGCCTGACTCCTGCTGCAAGCGCTCACCCGCCTGTCCACCCTCCAGCTCCAGCTTCTCTTCCCGCTCTGTTGGCTGGAAAGGGACAAACTCCCTGCGCTGCTGGCACCTGCGCTCTCCCATCTTCCCTCCTTCCTGTAAGCGACCACGTCCTTCTCCCACGTCCAGCTCAGTGGCCCCGTAGGCGCGAGGGCTGCGAATGGCCTCGGCGGGTGCAGCGCAGCCAGCCTGAGGCTGCAGGCACGGCTGCCGCAGCGGGGCCTTCAGCATCCTGCCCCTCTTCCTCAGCCTCCGTGGGGATGATGCTCAGCACTCCCGATGGCCACCTGCTCCTTGGCCCAGGGGCTGCCCCCTCGTGGGAAGCGGCCCTAGGAGGCACCCGCAGTCCGGTTGGGRCGCTCTGCGGGAGCTGATCTTCGCAGCAGGGCTCCTGTCAGAGCAGCCACAGCGCACGGGCTTCCTCCACACCTCCGCCTAGGCAAGGGCTGACCAGGGCTACGTCACCAAGGAGCCTTTTCCAGGGGTTTCTCTTTTCCAGAGACACAGAGGCAGCTGGAGCAGCTTTCAGGAACCTGAGCAGAGGGAAGGCAGAGTGTGAGCGCKGGGGCTGTTGGGGCACGCGCTGAGTTACAGCTCCCCGGGGCCCGGTGTGGCGCGTGCAAGTGCAGTCCCCTCCACTCGCCAGAGCGCAGGCGAGGGCCCCTCGAGAGGCAACTCCTTCAGACCCGCCGGCCGGGCAGCTTGGGGCAAGGCTGCCAGAGCGGGAGCCATCGGCACTGCTGCTCGCGCCGCGCTCCTCCCGCAGGGCTCGCGGGGCCGAGCGGGGCTCCGCGGTGACTCAGACCGGGGGAAATTCCTCACATTCTGCCCAGGCAGCCGCAAAATCCCCTGCACCTGGGAGAGGGGGTGGGACACGAGGGGCAAGGGCGGCAAGTGAGGAGTACAGTGGGGATGCCTGGGCTGCCTCCCCTGCCCACCCTCACCTCGGGTAGGGCCCTTGGTCCTGGCAGCAGATCACGGTCCCCAGCTACATTTGCTTTAGCAGCACAGCCCAGTTTGGAAGCCCACGCTAGCCTGGCGTGGATGCCGTGGGGATGGTGGGAGCGCTGGGATAGCGAACACTGGCCCCGAGCCGAGGGGCTGCCCTGGCCACAGCCTCTGCCTGCAGCCGCCTTTGCTCCTGCTTGGGCAGGACAGCTCCGTCCTTCCCGCGAGCAAGAGCAGGGCGCCCGGCTCTGCTCAACCACCGAGCGACGCACGCGGCTCCGGGACGGGCGCGGGCAGAGCCGCTGCCCTCGCCCTGGGCACAAACGCTGCCCGATGGTGAGCGTGCATAGCGAGCCGGCCAACGGGAGAGCTATCAGATAGGAGAGRGATATCTCATGGCTCGCAGGGCAGGATATGGGTTACAGCGCGTGTAACGGGGAAATTCCTGCGCGATGAGTCCGCCAGAGCCGCTCGGCACAGCAAAGCCGTGTTCCGCTCCTCTGCTGTGTCATTGCAAGGCTGGTTCTCAGCGCGTCACCCGCCTGCGGGGCGGCTGCTGCTTTCACCCCCGCACCCACCCGGCACTCACTGGCAGATCTCAGAGCCTGGACTCCCTGTCCCACCTCAGCACCCAGGGTGGGTTTGCTGGAGCTGCCTCACAGGTTGGCTTGGCTCGACTAGAAAAACATCCTGATTGTTTTTTGATTTTTTTCAGTGAAATGAGAGGAATTTGCTCCAGGTTAATGCAGCATGTTTAATTGAGCCTGAAGTGTCTTCTGCGATTCTGGTTGAGGATCACTTCATTTGGCCACATAAACTTCCCTGTTCTTCATGAGAAATCTGTCCTCAGAAATAAGGACAGGCCATTCTGCAGGCAGATTTGGAGAGCTCAGCTGCAAGGACTTGGGCATTTCCCAATGAAACACTGGCTTTTTGAAAGCACCTGAAGGAAATCTCCTGCCAGGCCTGAAATCCTTCCTCCTGCTTTGTAATTATCCAGTACAGGTTTGCAAAGAGATTTGGGGGGGGACAAATTTCAGCCTTTCTTGCTAAAAAAACCCTCTCGCCCTGCTCTTTATATAATGCATAGCCCTGATAGCTGCGAGAAGCCACCTACATCTTTCCTTAGAAACCTGGCAAGCTGTTGGAGCCGGCTTATCTTGAACGAGGACAAAGAGAAAGTTTCCTAAAATAACCACGTGCACAGCCTGGGTCAGAAGATTTCCTCTGRGAGCCACTCTGCCGGTGCAGCCCCCAGCCCCGCTCCCACCCCTGCACCCCACGGCCTTCCCGAGATGGTTTTGGAAGGAGGCACCAGTCCTGTGGGTGCCATGGGGCTGATCTGTGCCCTGTGACGGGGCTGATCGCTGCTGTGATGGTTTGGGGGTCCCTCCACAGGGCAGGACCTGCCTGCAGGGGCTGCAGTTCCCATCCAGGGTAGGCTGTTGGGGACACCTTGTGCTCCTCTGCAGCCAGTCCCTATGGCAAGAAGAGCCTGGAGCATTTGTAAGGAACCAGCATGCTGCAAAACGCTGCCAGGGAGGCGAGAGGGGAAAAAAAGAAGACCTAAATTCCCCGAAGGCTGGTGGCAGGAAGGACTTCTGCTCTCTGCTGTCTCTCCTACCTACTCGYCCTCTTCACAGCAAGCCTCCCCCTGCCTCTCGCCTGCCTTTTTCACAACCTGCGATGGCCCCCCCTCCTGAAAAAGGAAAACTAAAGTTAACTTTCCACCTCCCACACAAATATTTTTGGCAGGCGTTGCAGGCATCCAGGCTGCCAATCTCRGGGAGCCGGGACCTGCAGAAAAACCTTCCTCCCATCTCCATCTGGCCACGGTTCCCCCAGCACCGAAGCACCCAGGCAGGATGTGCCTGCAGGCAGGAGCCCTTGGGGACCACAGAGGGGACACGGGCTGGTCCTCTCAGCAACGAGGAGGAGTAAGAGCGGGAGAGGCTGCAAATGGGAAGCCCAGCACCCGGGAGCATGGCTGAACCTGCACGGAGGCAGCCGTGGGGTGAAAGCTGAGGCAGGGACACACACTGATCTTGAGCCCCGTCCTCAACGCCCCATAACTGCACAGACACATCACTGCCCACACTCGGTTTCCAGCATCTTTAAGTGGCAGCATGGGCAGGAGAGGGAAGCAGAGGGGTGGAAACTGTGCTGTGGGCACTGYAGAGGGCTTGGGGGCAGAGCCGGCAAGGACGGATGGAGGGACAGACGGATGGGGGCTCTCGGGTTTCCCCCAAGGTCACACAGYGGGTTGCTGTCACTCAGGAGGGCTCCTGCTGCCCAGACTTTCAGTCCCCAACTCCAGTCACAAGACCGACTCCTTCCCTTTCCAAAATAGACCAGTCGCAACATATACGCAGGGGGGGTTTGCACCTTGGGCATGCCAGCGCCGAGCGTCCCGCGGGGAGCTTGGCAGCGCCTCCGGGCAGCGCGTCCCACGTCAACAGCGCCAGCCCCGGCACCGGGAATCCCCCGAGCCCGGCCTGGGCAGAGGCGCACGGAGCTGCCCCCACAGTGCCGACGCAAGGAGCTGCCCCTGGCACCGCGCACACAGGGAGCTGCCCCTGGCACCGCGTACAGCCGGCCCAGAGCACGGGGAGGACCTGCTGCACCGAGGTGGCCACGGGCAGGGGGGATGTTTGGGGGCATGAGAAGCCCTGAAGGGGCAGCAGGGCCCCGATTCCAGCCCTGTGCAACTCCTGCCCCGCTCCAGTCACGCTCTGTGAAGAGGGCACGTCCAGTGTCCCAGAAGGAAAGGTGCCAAAGGCGGCCAGGGGCTTTCTCCCTGTGTTTCTTTAAGTGAGAGCTSTCTCTGCAGCTGACACAGGAGACGTCACCGCAGTACTGCTGTCACCGAGGGGCAGTTGGCTCGGAGCCTGGGCCGCCCCGTCCCTGGCTGCTCTCACATCTGTTGCAATGCAATAGCGGGCACCACAGGCTCCCGGGGGCTTTGGGGCACGGCTCTGGTCCTGCTTTCCCGACAGAGGATCCCACTGCTGAGCCCTGCTGGCCCCACGAGCCCCAGGACCACGTGCGGGACTGCGGCAGCGAGCGCGGGGCAGAGCCCCAGCAGGGCCAAGGCCGYGGCGAGGGCGGCCCTGCTTTCCTTGGCACGGCCCTCGCTCCCCGCGGCCGCCACGGGCAGGGCCGGCCTCGGCTCCGCTGCGCGCCGCGAGGAACAAAAGCCTTTCGCAGCCTTGATTTACTACCTTGGAGGAAACCAGGGTGGAAAAAACAACATTCCAGCACGCCTGTCCCCGTGCAACCCTCGTGGCCCGCAGCACCCCATGGGTGCCCACGCTGCCCCGCATGCTGACACAGCGAGGAGCCCCCCGCCTCGCCAGCACCGAGGGACATTCTCTGACTAAGCAGAGGCGCCAGGTCAAGGCACCTGCGCTGGGAAGGCGGGGCGTCCCAGGCACCTACATGTGCTTCCCTGCCCACCGCTGTCCCACACCACGCGCTGGCCAAGGGCGCTGCCTTCCCCACTGCGCTGCCCTGTCCTCCCTCAGGCCTTGGCTTGTCCTCAAGATGACGATGAGGAAGGAGAACAGGCTGCGCCCTGCACGGGTCACCTCTGTGCAGCGCAGTGCTGAGGAGCAGCAGGGCAGGGGCTGGGGCAGGGTGTTGGGCCCCTCCTGGCAGGGCAGGGAGGCCTGTCGCGCTGAACAGCGCCTGCCCCAGCAACACAAATGTCTGCCGAGCTGCTCCACCTGGGGAACCTGCACCGAGCCCGCTCAGCGCCCCCTCAGCACACCTTCCGGCTGGGTCCAGACGTCCAGCTACCCTCTCTCACTCCCTATCGGAGCTCTCGGGATGAGTGGCCGCATCCAGCCATCACTTCCATGTCCGTAGAGGGGCAGTGACTTGCCCGACCGTGGGCTGCTGCTGCAGGGAGCAGCCGTGCAGGGCAGGTCCCAGCCTGTCCCTGCCTTTGCTTATCTTGGACCTTGCAAGGACAGAGCTGGGTTTTGGCTTTATCCCGGTGTTTCCAGGATGTGAGGACAGCCACGGCTGCACCCCAGCTACAGAAAGTTACCCCRGGCTTCATGGTGCAGGTCTGTGGTGGGAAGGCCCAGGTTTGCTGAGCCCCGGAGACCTCAGGCCAAGGTGAGGTGCCCTCAGGGCCACTACCACTGCTTGGGGACAGGGACAGTCAGCCAGAGCTGAGTTGAAATTGCAGAAGATAGATACGGACACGGAGAGAAGACCACAAAGCCCCGAGATGGCACGAGGTGCCTACGTACCTGAAGTGACGCAGCGCTGCGGAT